GAAGGGGGGGGAGGAGGGCGGTGAAAGGGAGATGGACGGAAGGAAGGACCAAGGGAATGGAGGAGAGGATAAGGATGGAGAGTGAAGGATGGAAAGAGAAAGGTGAAGGGCGAGAGAGGAGAAGAAAGAAGGAATGAAGGAAAGGAGGAGAAGAGCAGAGGGATGATAGGAAGAGGAAAAGAGAAGAGGAAGGGAAGGGCAAAAGAAGGCGTAGAGTAGAATAAAGGAGACGAGATAATTAGAAGAGAGAGGAAAAGGAATGAGAGGAGCAAGGAAGAGAGCAAAAAAGGGACAAGAAAGAGAGCGAAAAGAGGAACAAGGGAAAGGGAGAAAGAGTAAGAGAATGCAAGGAAGAGAAAGTCAGAAAAGCAAAGCCGAGAGAGAGAGAGGGAGAGGCGGAAGGAGGAAGGGGCTGTATGAAGAGAGGGGCTGTATGGGAGAGGAGAGAAGGGAAGAGAGGGAGAGAGGGAGGTAAAGGGTTAGAAATGGGGAGCTTCCTAAGGCCATGATGATTATACCGTCATACTCATTATCTTTGCAGCGCCGGTTAAACTAATTGTCGCCTAGCAATTAAGGTTTCGCAGTGTGCGGTGGGGTGTGAGTGGCTCTTGTTATGGTTAGAGGGGGGGGAGGGGGGGGAGGCGAGGAAGGGAGGGGAGGTGAAGGTGAGGGGGGTGTATGGTGGAGGTAAGGGGGGGGGGAGGTGAAGGTGAGGGGTTGGGGTAGGAGTCGGGTGGTGGGGGTCGGAGAGGTGGTGAGGGATGGGGTGGGGGTGGGGGGTAGGGGGGAGGTGGAGAGAGAGCCGGAAGTTAAGGTGAAGGAAGAGGAAGAGGAAACAAAAAAAAGGAATGAAGGAAGGGAAACAGGACACAATTAGAAATTAAAAAAACGAATAGAGTCATTTAACAAAGTCGGTTAATAACTTAGTGGAAACAATTGCACCCTTTATTAAGTATTCATCCTCCCTTAACCCTTCCTTTATTTACTACTTAACAACGTTTCTTTTTTTCTCACTCTCTCGTTTATACATTTTCAAAAAAATATCTTGAGAAATAAACAACAGGAAACGAACGAAGAACGAAGAAGGAACAAGAAAATAAGAAGAGAAGAAAATGGGAAAATTACTTAAAACAGAAAACTGGACAGGTTCAAGTGGGAAAAAATGGGGGGATACTATCAAATAAAAAAGTTTAAATACAATAATGAAAATGACGTCGATAATGACTATATTGCTTTGCTCTTCGAAGACCGTCCAATACGCCTGGAATTCCTGGAATCTCAATTACCTTGTTCAGTGCATATACATACCCCCCCCCCCTGCCCTACACGTCATCCCCCCTCCCCCTCTTCCCTTCTCCCCTCTACCCAATTTGTGTCTATTTTCGATTGTATTTCTTCTCTTCGTATGGTTTTGTTTTCTCGTTGAATTACTTTCTCTTCTCATTTTCTTTCGTTTTTTAAATCATATGTAGGGAGTAAAATAAATAGAAGAGCAAGAAAGAAATGAGAATGAGAACAAAACACAGAAAAAAGCACTAGAAGAAGGAAGAAGAAAATAAAAAGAAAAAAGAAAAAGGAAAAGAAAGAAGAAGAAGAAAGAAAAAGAAGAAAATGAGGAGGAGAAGGAGAAGACGAAGAAAAAAAAAATAAATGTGTCTTTATGTCGTCAGGAATTGCGATTTTTATTAAACACTCCATTGTCTATTTTATAGGGGCGTTCTGGTCTCCTCCCTTCACGGAGCAGAGTTTTACGACGGCGAAAGGGGGAGTTATGAAACCTTTCGATCGATATGGCAGAAAGGAAGAAAAGAAAGAGAGGACAAGAAAGGAGGGGCGAGGGAGAGGAGGAAGAAGGAAGGAGAAAAGAAGGAGGGGCGAGGGAGAGGGAGAAGAAAGGAGGGGAGGGAGAGGGAGGAAGAAAGGAGGGGAGAGGAAGGGTGGATGGGTGGGGGAAAGGGGTAGAGGAGAGGGGGAGGCTTTGAGAGGGAGAGGGAGAGGGAGAGGGAGAGGGAGAGGGGAGAGAGAGAGGGAGAGGGAGAGAGAGAGAAAGAGAGAGAGAGAGAGAGAGAGAGAGAGAGAGAGAGAGAGAGAGAGAGAGAGAGAGAGAGAGAGAGAGAGAAGAGAGAGAGAGAGAGAGAGAGAGAGAGAGAGAGAGAGAGAGAGAGAGAGAGAGAGATGCACCACCATGTAAATACATTTTACTTTCGTTAAGTCCCCCTTTCAACAACAACAAAAAAATAATGAAAAAAGAAAATGGAACGCAGTCGTTTTCTATACATCCCTCTCCATAGTTTCTAAAGAGAAACGCAGGTCTACCCATATTCCTGTTATATTTTTTCCCCTTTTCGTTCGAAATCTATCTAATAAAGACTGAACAGACGTAAATAAAAAAAAAAAGACTTTCCCTAAAAATCGTAAAGTAGATATCTTATACCTGTATTCCCTAGGCCCCCTGCTGGTAATTGCACATATAAAGCGTCTTTTGGGGGCTTTTGCCTACCGCACGTGGCCCATTATCAACCCTATGGCCAGCCGACGTTAGGGGTCTTTACCCATTCGAAAACAAAGGGAAAATCGTCCTTAGGGTCGGGTTAACATACAGCTCACAGTGGCTAACGGTACATACAATTCAGACCTTTATGCGCACGACATACAGACTCACTGTGTTCCTCTCTATTCTACACAATGTTACAGCCTAGTTTATTTGACAAAAAATGGAAAATAATGAAATAGCGGTGAATGGCAAAACTACCAGAGCGGAGTATATGGACGAGATAGAGAAAGAAATGTTGTCAACAAGTTTTCCAGAAATTCAATAACAAACACGAATAAATATTTGTCCCTTTCACATTCACCTTTCTGTCAGAAGTGTGTATTACACATGTGTACGCACGTTTATGTACGCAAGTGTGTTTGTATGTATATACATACATACATATAGACATATATATATATATATATATATATATATATATATATATATATATATATGTATGTGCTGTACTATGTGTGTGTGTGTGTGTGTGTGTGTGTGTGTGTGTGTGTGTGTGTGTGTGTGTGTGTGTGTGTGTGTGTGTGTGTGTGTGTGTGTGTGTGTGTGTGTGTGTACATACATGTATACATAAATAATACATACATAATATACACATATATATATATATATATATATATATATATATATATATACATATAAACACACATATACACATCCATATACCCATACACACACAACAAACTCATGCACAGCCGAGTAATGGATTTAGCACGTTCAGGACACCACTTTTTTCAAACAAAATTTCCCCCTTTGGAGAATATCAAGTTTAAATCTTTATGCAGGAAAAATATCAAAACAATTAAGAGCATTTGAATAAATGAATACATTTTATTTATCAATTCAACAAACCATTTCTTTAAGAAAAATATATACCAGCCAAGGGTCACAAATCTGTTTTAAATACATACATAATGTATATAAAAAGAATAATTGAATTGGGCTTGTGAGAGACGCAAAGTCTTTCACTTCAGCCTAACACTATTTCCTCCCAAAACACAAAGTTAATACATGACACATTTGGGGACAAAAAAGGGCTAAAAGCGGAGATAAATCGATTATTTTTTCGCCTCAAATAGCTTTCTCTAAACCAAACTCTGGGTACATCTTTAAAAGTTCTTGAAGTCACTGCAAAATAAGTGCAAGTACAATCATTTCTTCATTTTTGTGGGGGTGATCACTTTTATATATATAAAATATATATGCATCAACTGTCAGATGTCTCTAGAAACATAAGCACTTCCCCAAATATATATACAGTGTATATAAATTCCTTGTTGAGGTAAAAATGTCTTTACTAACAGTTTTGTTAAAGGGTAAAATAAACCCGTTAGCGTTCTTATATGTAATACAAATTCACTTTAAACACAAGAGAGAGTTTCCTGTTACAGTCACTTGAACCAACTGCCTTAAAAGGGTCATTCATAGCACAAAAGTACATATACATATATGTATATTTATGTAGCCTTATGGACTTTCTAAAAGCTAGCGAATTTATATATATAAATATATATTCTTTAGCTTCTGCACACGATCAAAAATATACCATTTTTGTCTATCTGAAGTCTGTTATTTTCGTGTCTAAGCCCTTTGTGTTTGTTGTTATTAAAGAGAGAGAGTTACTCTTTATTGTGTTTGTGATCTCGAGTTAGAGTGACAATATCATATGAAACACGACATGCCTGGCATAGAAGACACGTTTTTTTGAGTTTATATGATATATATACATAAACACACTCTCCCACTGGGTCTTTGAGTGAGCGTTTATAACCAGACGGGAAAGTTTATGAAGTTATTTATTTAAATAGGATCGACGAAAGATTTTTTTATGATAATTAATATCTCTTGATTGCTGGGGATGCTCACAACCCGGTGTTCTCTTCCTGGTAAACACAAAGTCTTCAAGATATTTACTATCTCTCTTTTATATATATAAATATGGAATCTATATACATTATAGACTTTCGATTAAGGGCACTTGATCCTAAAGCGTCAGTCTGTCTGTTTCTTCTTGTGGGGTTGGAACACCTACGGAAAATTAAGCACGGGTTCTTCTTCTCTCCGCGTGGGGTAAAGGCGAAAACGGGAAAAACGCTCAAAACGCCGGTATAAATGAGGGTCAAAATTGCATGTATGCGATACAAACCAAGGGGAAAAATGGATCGACAAACAATATATATATACCTTTTTCAAGAAAGGAATAAAAATAATTGAACATTTATTTGAAGGAAAAAAAATAAACTACAAACAAACCGGAAGTTCGCACTACGACAATAGATCCATGAGTCATAATAAATCAGTCATAATTAACATTATTAGCATCAAGCAATAAAAATACCCTTATGACAAAACCTACAGTGACCAAAGAGGAGAGAACAAATAAAACAACAACTTCTATTTTTTCTCTTGTTTCAAAAGTAATACCATATACGGATAGTTTGCTCCCTACCTTGATGTGGTAGGAATTGATCTTGTGTCTGGGCAGAGCGTTGAAGCTGCTGAAGTCTAGTCTCCTGGCGAACAGCCCGCCACCGGATCCGTGTCTGGGGGGGGAAGGAGAAGGGTGCTTAGAGACGCAAATCCTAAAGTAAAGGAAAAAAAATATTAAGGTAAGCAAATCCTGATGGGAAAGGGAAAAGGTATTTAGAGACGCAATACCTGATGAGAAAAGGAAAATTCCAGATGAGAAAAGGAAAAAGATATTTAGATAAGCAATTCCTAAAGTAAAGGAAAAAATATTAAGGAAAGCAAATCCTGATGAGTAAAAGAAAAAGATATTTAGATCCGCAATTCCTGGGGAAAAAAAGGAAAAAGATATTCCGATACGTAAATCCTTAAGGATATTTAGATCCGTAATAATTTGTAAAGGAGAAAATACATAGTTTGAAACACATTTTAAAAAATATTTTGAGATAAAAAGTCTGTAGAAGAGAAAATAAATTATCACACTGAAATGTCTTTTAAAATACTGCAAGAAAAGAAATATGTAAGAAAAAAATCAAAAAATATATAAAAGGCAATTTGTCTTCATGAGATATCACAAGACCAAGATATTAAAAATCTAAAAATACACCCAGATAGAAATTGAAAGGCGATTCAGAGTTCAAGACGAAGAGAAATAGATCCAAATATATCTCTGGAAGAAGATTACGAACACCAAGAAAAAGAAAGACGATGGCACATTTAATTGATGACGGAACGGAAAAATAGACAACCTTTATGACCCAAGGTTGTCTTTTTAATGTCTCGGGGGGGGGGGGGGGGATCTTGTGAATGTTTGTCAGTTGTTGGGACACTACTTTATATTAATGTATATGTGTAGATGTACAGGTGTGTGTGTGTGTGTGTGTGTGTGTGTGTGTGTGTGTGTGTGTGTGTGTGTGTGTGTGTGTGTGTGTGTGTGTGTGTGTGTGTGTGTGTGTGTGTGTGTGTGTGTGTGTGTGTGTGTGTGTGTGTGTGTGTGTGTGTGTGTGTGTGTGTGTGTGTGTGTGTGTGTGTGTGTGTGTGTGTGTGTGTGTGTGTTCGAACGCATGTATGGCTATAAATGAACAGATAAAGTTATCTGAATTCAATCATCCACCTGTGTACAGCTTGTACAGATAAGGACATAACGTCTCCCTCCATCTTTATTTCTGTCTACATCTGTATCCTTGTCCCTCACCCCCTTGCCCCCTTATCCTCCCTCCCCTCTCCTCTCCCTCTCCTCTCCCTCTCCCTCCCTCTCTCCTCTCCCTCCCTCTCCCCTCCCCTCTCTTCCCTTCTCCCTCTCTCTCCTCTCCCCCCTCTCTCCATCCCTCTCTCTTCTCCCTCCCTCCTTCTCCCTCCCCCTCTTCTCCTCCCCTCCCCCTCTCCTCTCCCTCTTCCTCTCCCTCTCTTCTCTCTCCCTCTCCTCTCTCCCTCTCCCTCTCCCTCTCCTCTCCCTCTCCCCCCTCTCTCTCCCCTCCGCTCCCTCTCCCTGCACAGGTGTAACGATACAGGTGTTGCTCAGTTCCTGTTCGAGAGCTAACAATGTTTTCGGCCCCTTTGGCTTAGTCAGTCACTGGGGATCCCGCAGGTGTGCTGTCTATAATTGTGCTGTACAGCTCTGACCTTCACTTATTGCGGCCGGATATGAGCCTTCGGTACAGAGTGCACAAGGGTGAAATTTCTCCCATTGTTTGCGCTATGATGGGGGTGTTTGATATATGTACAAAATGTAGGAGTATAAATATATACGTATACATGCCACATACACATATACACCCAAAATCGTTTTAAATTATCATCATTTCTATTTCATATACGACAAGTGTTCGGCACATGTGTACAGTAATAAATAACCAACACCTGAGTGACTTGGGGAAACACCTGTTTTTTCGGTTAGAAACATCTGTGCACATGTGTTCCTATGAGTAATACTTCTCTATTTCGCTTTCTACTTTTCCTTCTCCTTCTACTTTTTCTTCTTCTTCTCTCTTCTTTCTTTCACTTCTTTCACTTTCTTTCTCTCACTTTCTCTCTCTCCTCTCCCTCTCTCTCTCTCTCTCTTTCTCGCTCTCTTTCCCCCTCTCCCTCTCTTCCCCCCTCTCTCCCTCCCACCCCCTCTCTCTCTCTCAAACTATCTATCTATCATCAACCTGTATATGATTTGTGTTCCTAAAGACATTACGATATAGATTGAAAAGACACAGAAGGAAAAACAAAGAGAATCATAAATAAATAACATCTCTGTAGCGTATAAACGGTCCTTTGGGTAAACTGCAGAAATTGGGTCTGCATTTTCACCAGTTTTATCCTGTGACTCGCTCGTCTCTTAGGCAATCGACGGGAAGTCTAGACATGTATGATTCACCTCTTGCAACGGGGTGGGGTGAGGCGGGGGGGGGAGGGGGCGGAGATGGGGGTGAGGCGGGGGTGGGGGGGCGGAGAGGGGGTGAGGCGGGGGGAGGGGGGCGGAGAGGGGTGAGGCGGGGGGGGGGGGGGCGGAGAGGGGTGAGGCGGGAGGGGGGCGGAGAGGGGAGGTGTTAAGGGGTGTGAGGAGAGAAGGGGGAGGGGAGTGAGAGGGAGGGTTAAGGTGAAGGGGGGGGGGGAATAAGTGCTTGGAGAGATGTGATGGAAGTGGGAGGAGCGGGGGAGAGGGAGGGGGTGGTGGGGGAAGGGGGGTATGGAGGTTTTGATGTTTTGTGGTGGTGGGAGATTTTAACGAATAAGGGAGGGAGAGGGAGAGGGAGAGAGGAGAGAGAGAGAGAGAGAGAGAGAGAGAGAGAGAGAGAGAGACGAGAGAGAGAGAGAGAGAGAGAGAGAGAGAGAGAGAGAGAGAGAGAGAAGAGAGAGAGAGAGAGAGAGAGAGAGAGAGAGAGAGAGAGAGAGAGAGAGAGAGAGAGAGAGAGAGAGAGAGAGAGAACGAAAGAGAGAAAGAGATAGAGACAGAGATAAAGAAAGAGAGAAAGAGAAAGAGAAAGTAAAAAGAGAGAAGCAGAGAAAGAAAAGAAAGAAACAGCATCCAAAAACAAAACAAAAATCCCACAAGCAGAGAAACTCAAAACCTAAAAAAAAAAAAAAAAAAAAAAATTAAAGACCACGCAATCACACAAGCAATCCCAGACCATGAAGTAATAACTAGACTCACTTTCACCTCATAAAAAGGCTCTAATGAAGCGAATCGAAGTTCAAATCACCATTAATCACACTCGATTTCACCTTCCTAATCACGGAGATTGGAATCAAGGACGATTTTTTCCATAACAGTTTCTAGATAATTGAGATAATGAAAAAAAAGAAATGAAAATCAATAAAAAGAAATAATAAAAGAGATAAATAAAAAACGAGAAAGAATAAAATAAATAAAAAAGAAATAATAAAAAAATAGTAAAAAAACATGTAGATGTAAGGATGAGTGGACGATTTAAAAGTCTTAATATAAAACATGATCGTTAAATTATTAAGTGAATTACTGAATTGAGTAGAAAATCATTTCCTATGCATGTCTAAAAATACACTTTAATAAAATCTGTATATCCATTAACATAAATTAGAATAGATACTATCATATTCTTAGAGAAACATTTTACATATCTATAAAAAAAATCACATAAAAATACATTTATTTCTAATGCGATAGGGAGTGTTGCCATCACCGCGTCACTCTAATTCCATCAGACAATGACTCTTTTTTATATCGCCTTATGTCGGAATGTATCATTATATACGGCAGTGAATAATTCAGACCCGAATAACACAATGCCTTTTCTTGCATGCTAATTACGCCTACCCCCCCCCTTTCCCCGCCTCCCCAACCCCCCTTCCCTACCCCCCCCCCTTCTCCTCCCCTCCCCACCCTCCTCTCCTGTTCGTGTTGTATAGTTTATAATTTAATGCTGATGTGGAGGAATTTCGGAAAGTGTTCGAACGCGTGCATTTACGATGTATTTATAATGTTATACTGCTGTTTAATTTCTTTTTTTTCCATCTTTATTGCTTATTGTCATTGGTTTCATTATTGCTACTAACTCTTTCCTTGTTTTATTTGTCTGTCTATTTATCGAATCATCAATCAATTACTTTCACCTATAGATATAATGTAGACAAGCGTGCGTACGTGTGTGTACGTGTATGTATTTGAGTATATGTGTATGTGTGTAGGGGGAGTCCGTGTGTGCGTGCGTGCGTGCGTGCGACCCCAGACCATGAGTAAAAGTAAATGAGTAATCCCATGCATTAGCAACGAGTGAGTAAATACGACAGCGCATGTGCCGGTGTGTATGTAAGCGATAAGAAGCAAAAGGAGCGAGAGTTGAGTTTATTTGTCCCGCGGAGAAAGGCAGGATTGTCTCCGTCTGCGTTCGGCCACAGGTATCGCCGCGAAAACGAACGAGTTGGTCTCCTGTTGGCTGAGGTCAGAGCCCCCCCCCCCCCCCACCCACACCCCACCCCACCCGCCGTTCTTTCTTGTTCGTTGTTCATGTTGCAGATCTTTGTTTTAGTTGTCTTGGATGCTTCTTTCTTATTCGTTTATTTCTGTTCCTCTGTTATCAAACTTAAAATCAAAACTCCTTTTCCCCTTTTCTCCCTTCCTCTCCCTCTCTTTCTTCTTCTCCCTTTCCTCCTCCCTCTTTCTCCCTTCCCTTCCTCTTCCTCTTCTCTCTCTCTCCTCTTCTCTTCTCTCCTCTCTCCTCTTCCTCTTCCTCTTCCTCTTCCTCTCTCTCCTCCTCCCTCTCCCTCTCCTCTCCCTCTCCCTCTCCTCTCCCTCTCCTCTTTCTCCTTCTCCTTCTCCTTCTCCTTCTCCTTCTCCTTCTTCCTTCTCCTTCTCCTTCTCCCTCTCCCTCTCCCTCTCTCCTCTCTCTCCCTCTCCCTCTCCCTCTCCCTCTCCCTCTCCTCTCCCTCTCCCTGTATCCCTCCCTCCCTCCCCCATAACCTCCCCATTTCACACTGCCTTACCAAGCAAGGACGCCCGTAAGGTCGCTTATCACATCCTTCCCCGCTACACACTTGACCCTTACCGCTGTCGCGAGCAGCCAGGCAACCAGCGTAGCATAAACACCTTTTGGCAAATATATCATTTTAA